TTGACCAGGATGGTCTCGATCTCTTGACCTCGTGATCCACCCGCCTCGGCCTCCCAAAGTGCTGGGATTACAGGCTTGAGCCACCGCGCCCGGCCAATTATCATCTCCTTATGATTCAATCTGTGGGCATGAACAATATCCGTGAAGACTGTGGAGACTGTGTGCTTGGGGCAGAAACAGATAAAATCAAGAATTCAGAGGACCAAGACAGAGTAGTAAGAGAGGTAGGAGGAAAGCAGAATAGTATATTTTAGTATGTTTTCAGAGTTTCATGAAAGTAGGGACTATACCAATCTGTTCACTCTTGCACACGTGAGGCCTAGCCCCATCACACACAAATTAATATATGTTGAATAAACGTACAAATAAGTGATCAAGAATATCAGTTGCTATAGATAGGAGAAGGAAGGGCTAAAAAGCGTCTGTAGGATTTAGCCACATGGAGACATTTGATGTTATTGCTGAGAAATCAGTAGAGATATGAAGGCAAAAGTCATACTGCAGATGTTTGAGGATGGATTAGAAGTGAGGAAATAAAAACAGGAATTGCAGATAACTCCTAAGAATGTGTTACCAAAGAAGGAAGAGACAGTATCTGAGGAAAAGAGTAACAAGGATTTTTTCTTCCTTGAGTCAGGGTCTTGCTCTACTGCCCAGGCTGGAGTGCAGTGGTACCATTATGACTCACTGCAGTCTCGACCTCCCAGCCTCAAGCAATCTTCCCACCTCAGTCTCCTAAGTAGCTGGGACTACAGGTGTAAGTCACCACACCTAGCCAATTTTTTATTTTTTGTAGAGAGGGAATCTCACCATGTTGCTCAGGCTGGTCTGGAACTCCTGGGCACAAGTGATCCTCCTGCCTTGGCCTCCGCAAGTGCTGGGATTATAGGTGTGAGCCACCAAACTCAGCCAATTTTTTTTTTCTTGAGACATAGTCTTGCTCTGTTACCCAGGCTGGAGTGCAGTGGCTTGATATCTGCTCACTGCAACCTCCGCCTCCTGGGTTCAAGCGATTCTTCTGCCACAGCCTCCTGAATAGCTGGGACTACAGGCACATACTACCATGACCAGCTAATTTTTGTATTTTTAGTAGAGATAGGGTTTCACCATATTGGCCAGGCTGGCAATTTTTTTTTTTTTTTAGATGGAGTCTCACTCTGTCGCCGGGCTGGAATGCAGTGGCATGATCTTGGCTCACTGCAATCTCCACCTCCCCGGTTCAAGCAATTCTCCTGCCTTAGCCTCCTAATTAGCTGGACTACTGGCATGCAGTACCATGCCAGACTAATGTTTTTTATTTTAGTAGAGACAGGGCTTCACCATGTTGGCAAGGATAGTTTTGATCTCCAGACCTCGTGATCCGCTCTGCCTGCCTTGGCCTCCCAAAGTGCTGGGATTACAGGTGTGAGCCACAACTCCTGGCCTACTCCATACACTTCTAATAAATTCCATTTTAGTTTAAATTAGGCTGTTTCTGTTGCTTATAACCAAAGATCCCTAAGTGACAGCAATGTTTTTTTTTTTTTTTTTTNAAACTTATTATACTAGTCCTTCTTCTTGAATACGTTTAAAATTTTCCATAAAAAAAAAATTAATCAAGCTGGGAGCAGTGGCTCATGTCTGTAACCCCAGCACTTTGGGAGGTCAAGGTGGGTAGATCACCTGAGGTTAGGAGTTCGAGACCAGCCTGACCAATGTGGTGAAACTCTTTGTCTACTAAAAATACAAAAATTAGCTGGGTGTGGTGACGGCCACCTGTAATCCCAGCTACTTGGGAGGCTGACACAGGAGAATCACTTGAAACTGGAAGGCAGAGGTTGCAGTGAGCCATGACCATGCCATTGCACTCCAGCCTGGGCAACAGGGCAAGACTCCATCTCAAAAAAAAATAAAATAAAAATAACAGCCTGACAACATGGTAAAACCCCATCTCTACTAAAAATACAAAATTATCTGGGCCTGGTGGCTAGTGCCTGTAATCCCAGCTACTTGGGAGACTATGGCAGGAGAACTGGTTGAACTTGGAAAGAGGTTGCAGCGAGCTAAGATTGCGTCACTGCGCTCCAGCCTGGGCAACAGAGAAAGACCCTGTCTCAAAAAAAAATTAATTAATCAATCAAATGATGTAAGACCTATTAAATGAAAACAAAAGTAGCAACTCCTGCAGTCTCCACTACTGCTAATCATAAGCATAATTTCTACAAAGATAAAATAGGTAACTTCTCCCAGTTGCTGATACTACAATGGTATGTCCAACCTTTGTCAGCCTCAGCAGCTAAAACAGTGAGGTTTCACCAGGTTTTCTTCTACCCATCTGGCAAGGATGCACCAAGCCCCTCTAACAGAAAGCTCATCATATGGTTTGAATTTCCCTGGATGACACACTCTGGTTAGAATGCTTAAAACATGAACATTCCTAGTCACTGCCAACACTTCCCTACAGTCCTTCCTTCAGAACAGAGATTACTTATTTGCAGTGCAGACTCTATTCTTGAGGCCTTGGAAAAGTTACCTTCACGAAGCTGTTTACAGCCATGATGGCCATGTCTGGCTGACTCTTGGCGTAGTTCATCAAGTAGAGATACACAAGCTTCTTTAGTTCCAGATTGTCAGTCTGCATACAGTTCACTACGTCTGGAAAGAGAGAGCTGAGAAGAGAGGATAAAAAAGTGAGTAAGCAAGTGTTGGTGCCAAGCTGTTGGTCAGAACATGAAGAGCCTTAACTAACAGAGTGACTTGATACAAATGTCCTCACAGTAGTAACTGTCACAGAAATGAATTACTAAAAGAATTGTAGGCCAGGCATGGTGGCTCTTGTCTGTAATCCCAGCACTTTGGGAGGCTGAGGCGTAAGGATCGCTTGAGACTAGGAGTTCAAGACTAGCCTGAACAACATGTCAAGATCCCATCTCTACAAAAATGGTTTTTTGTTGTTGTTGTTGTTTGTTTGTTTTGAGACGGAGTTTCGCTCTTGTTACCCAGGCTGGAGTGCAATGGCGTGATCTCGGCTCACCACAACCTCCGCCTCCTGGGTTCAGGCAATTCTCCTGCCTCAGCCTCCTGAGTAGCTGGGATTACAGGCACGCACCACCATGCCCAGCTAATTTTTTGTATTTTTAGTAGAGACGGGGTTTCACCATATTGACCAGCATGGTCTCGATCTCTTGACCTCGTGATCCACCCGCCTCGGCCTCCCAAAGTGCTGGGATTACAGGCTTGAGCCACCGCGCCCGGCCCTCCCCCTGCTTTAGTACTGTGTTCACTTCGCTGGTGTGACATATCGGACTGTGTTCAAGGACGGAGACATTTTTATCCAGTATAGCAAGTGCATGGAGTTATGCCTGAATGTAGCCAGAACCTGGAAGACAGTTAAACTACCAGCTTGGATGAAAATTAACCGTCTCAAGTACTGAGGAACAAACATGAACGTTTCTCAATCCGATCATCTTTCCTTATAATTGGCAGCAGTAAATCTAAGGCGTCTATCTCCTGGTATGTTGCTTTAAATCCTTTCTGGAAGGGGAAGACATATAAATTAACCACCATCCGTTTCGCGCGTGTACAGAAAAGTCCTTTCCATCTCCAGATTCCCTTCTTCCCTCTGCCCCTAGCTCCACCGCCTGCAGGAACACAGGGCTCAGCAACGGGCCCAAGCTACGATTCCCGGAGCCAGACATGTGCGTAGCGCCCCAAACAACTTGTCAAAAAGACGTCTGCAGAGAGACGTACAGCGCTGTAGCCTTCCAGCGAGGCCACCATGCAGACCCAGCTACGAAAGGTAAAACCAAACCAGCGGAAAAGTCACAGCCAAAACCAGCCCGCACCAGCCCTCTTCACTTTCAGCGGGGTGGGAGCGGAAGTCCGGGTGGGTCATAGAGTTCTCTAGCTCTGGTTTCCGGGCTGCGTTCGGGACTACACCGCCTCTCTTCCCCCAGGCGTCCCCGAAGTCCTGGTGGTTTCTATTTCCGGGTGCGTCTTCTGTCATAAAGCCGAGACCTCTCTTCAAACGTGGCGTCGCAGGTTCTTAGCGCCTCGCCTGGAGTCAGCGAGCAAGGACGGGCGCGGGCGGGGATACTCAAAGTCAACAGCTGAAGCCAGTCCTCGTGTCCCGGTCTCACACTGGCACGACTGCATCCTCAGAGTCGGCTGGCTTTTGAGCGGTCACGATTGGGGAGGAGGAGGATTTCTCGTTCGCAGCACCAGGACTGCAGCTCCAGAGGATCGCGTTCCTTCCCCCATATCTGCCCCCCCAGTCACGCTCTGCCCTGAGGTGCAGCATTTGACAAGTTACCCCCTTGCCACATACCACTTCTACCCACGTCCGAGTTAGCTTTGTTCTTAACCTTTTTGAAACTCCCCTCCGCCTCCAGAACAGGTCTTTTTTTTCGCTAGCTCATTTTTGCCCATAAAATTGAGTTTCGAGTTTTAGATATCATACAGAAAGTTTACCTTTAAGACCGAGCACCCATCTGATACCCTTCCTCCCGAAAAAGTTCATGCTCACGAGAGAGTTTGTGGGAAAAGCGAAAGCCAGTCAACACAGGAAACTATGGCTGAGCACGGGGCTCACATCACAACTGCTTCTGTGGCCGATGACCAGCCATCCATCTTCGAGGTGGTAGCACAGGACAGTTTAATGACAGCAGTGAGACCTGCTCTTCAGCATGTGGTCAAGGTAAGGTATTAATTCTTGGATTTTAGGGACAACTGGGTAAAAACCAAACCAATAATTTGTGCTTATTTGGTAGCCTAGCGTTTGAAATAGCCAATTTGCAAATAACTCGTATCCCATGACTTACAGGTTATTGAGTCTGTATTATGTGTAGAGACCTGTACTGAATACCCAACATTTCAAGGTTAGGGTAGATTCCAAAATAAGTGACTTATTTAAGACAGAATGTGTAGACTTTAGAAGAAAAGGGAGAATGCCAATAGAAGGTGTAGTACTTGTGTAATGGAATGAATTTCACTTATTGTTTTATTTTGCTCTAGGTTCTTGCAGAATCAAATCCCACTCACTATGGCTTCTTGTGGAGGTGGTTTGATGAAATCTTTACTCTGCTAGATCTTCTGCTCCAGCAGCATTACCTGTCTAGAACTAGTGCCTCATTTTCTGAAAACTTTTATGGCTTAAAGAGAATTGTAATGGGGGACACTCACAAGTCTCAGAGGTTGGCCAGTGCTGGCCTCCCAAAGAAGCAGCTTTGGAAATCAATTATGTTCCTGGTTCTTCTTCCCTATCTGAAAGTGAAGCTGGAGAAGTTGGTTGCTAGCCTGAGAGAAGAGGATGAATATTCTATTCATCCTCCTTCTTCCCGCCGGAAACAATTTTACAGAGCCTTTCTGGCAGCCTACCCATTTGTTAACATGGCTTGGGAAGGATGGTTTCTTGTACAACAACTTCGATATATCCTAGGAAAAGCTCACCATCACTCACCACTGCTCAGGCTGGCTGGAGTTCGGCTAGGTCGACTGACAGTTCAGGATATACATGCTCTGGAGCACAAACCAGCTGAAGCCAGCGTGATGCAGCAACCAGTCAGGAGGTAAGGCCTTAGCACTTCCAAAAGATTTTTAGTTAATAAATTCTAAAATCTTATCCCAGTTTTGTGAAATTCACCTCCCTGTTAACTTTGTGGTATTTCATGAAGTCATAGAAAAGCAATTCCTTGTGTCCATAAACCAAGGACTGTCATCTTGGTAACCTTCCTCATCATACCAGGTATACTTTTAGTGCACACTTGCTATGTCCTGTGCTAGGTGCTTGCTTTGTGAACATTATCTCAATCTTCAGCACAACCCAATGAAGTAAATGTATTAGCTCCATTTAACAGTTGGGGAAACTAAGCCCAAACAGTTAAGTACCTTGCCAAGGTCATGTATACATTTAGCTAGCTACAAGGTGGCAGAGCTGGAATTCAAGCCAAGTCAATATAATTCTAAAGACTGTGCTCTGTGAGCCACTGCACTCAGCCTAAGACTGTGCTCTTAATCATGATGCTGTGCTCCTTCTAGTTCATATTTGTGTTCTACAAGTTCAAATATATATATTCCTCAATACTGCTAAGTTTTTTGTTAAGTGAATTGTTTTTTTTTTCCTGGATCACTATCTTCGACTAAAAAAAGGGAGAAAGTCTATATAATGAAATTCTCTACTGATTTCTTTCAAAACACAAAACCAAACCCTAATTATTTGTTACTAAAAACAAAGGTTAGCTCCTATGCTCCTAAAATACTGTAAGTTAGAGAGAATCATGTAGAATAGATCCTTAACGAGATAGTACCACCAGTCTACCAACTTTTCAGTCCCCCAGTGATTCTGATGAAAAATATAAGAATTGCATTTATGTTAGTCATTCTCTAATAAAACCTAAAGTTTCTCTTTTTGCCTCCTTGTTCTTTTCTCCCAACAGTGTTAGTGAGAAGATAAAGTCAGCTCTGAAGAAAGCTGTGGGAGGTGTTGCCTTATCCCTGTCTACTGGCCTTTCTGTGGGTGTATTCTTCTTGCAGTTCCTTGACTGGTGGTACTCATCTGAAAATCAAGAAACCATCAAGTCATTGACTGCCCTGCCTACTCCACCACCACCTGTACACCTAGACTATAACTCGGATTCTCCTCTCCTACCCAAAATGAAGACTGTGTGCCCACTGTGTCGTAAAACCAGGGTGAATGATACTGTTCTTGCCACTTCTGGCTATGTGTTTTGTTACCGCTGTGTGTTTCATTATGTGAGGAGTCACCAAGCTTGTCCCATCACAGGTTATCCAACAGAAGTACAACATCTGATTAAACTCTACTCCCCTGAGAACTGAAAGGGAATCGTGTCTTATCCTCACAACAAAACTATTGCACTGTAATGCCACAGGGCTGGTTTCAGCATGGCATATAGCATTGATACTTCTCAGCCTCAATTCATAACTATATGAACTTTAAATGACTATATGGATTTCTTTAAAAGGATATGCCCATTGGTGGCGCGTGCCTGTAGTCCCAGTTACTTGGGAGGCTGAGGCAGGAGAATTGCCTGAACCCAGGAGGCGGAGGTTGCGGTGAGCCGAGATCGCGCCATTGCACTCCAGCCTGGGTAACGAGCAAAACTCTGTCTCAAAAAAAAAAAAAAAAAGATATGCCCATTTGATCCTAAACTTTTAGCCTGCTCTCTAGAACCCTACTTACAGTTGACCAAGCTGCTTAAGATAGAAGAATCAGTATTGGCAGGGGATATGAGGGCCAGTGTAGAGATTAAACAGGATAATGACTACAGAATTTTTTGCTTATCCCTTTCCTTAAAATATAAGTACAGAAGGTCTTAGGAAAAATCCAAGTTAGCATAAAAAATAAAGTGAACAGTGAAGTGGTAGCAAGCCTTCTTTTTAGAAAAGAAAGCATTTACCTGCCTGTCTGTAAGGTGGAAATTTCATCAGTTTGCCAACGATAGGAAATGTGGACCTGCTCTTGGTAGAAATGTTTAGAAATATTTTACGGAAAAATTAAAGCTCCTTCCATATACTGTGACCCATTTGTTAAGTGACATCTACAGTTATCAACTTTTAAGGATATCCTTAAAAGTTGGATATTTAGGATACTTAAGGATATTCCTTTATGAATCCTCCATAGCTTTCTTGAGAAACTGGTTAAAAAAGGAATAGGGGTTGAGTGTTACGGAGAGAATAGTCTGAAGATTCCTGTGTAAAAGCAAAGCTAACAAGCAATGAAGAGATGAAGCAAAATACTAATCTAATTGTGTAAAGAAAGGATATTTTAATAAGTTCTTTCTGTTTGTTGCTAAGAGTTTGCTAAACTGTCATGAATTATTCTGGTTATTACTAAAGTTTCTATGAAACACTTAAGTAGATTTTAAGAATAAATGTTTCTGGAAAAATAACTGTTCCATGTTATGATTTTGTAGAAACGTAAAGATTACTTAAGGTGTTTAAAATAAATTTTTCATTCAGACTGCCTTTGACTTTTTGAGGTATTTTTGTATTAAAATTTTGCCAATCCAGTAGTTGGAACAAAAATCCTCTGCTCCAGGAACAAGAATTCAGCCGCATGCGAAATATCTCATGCATCAACTTAAGAAATACTTAAGTTGCCTGTGTAGGAGAATTTATGCCATTGGATTGGCAGGCTGGTGAAAACACGGGTTAAAAAAAAAATCATCACTACAAGAGGAAGGATGAAAATGATTTTTAAGAGTGCCTGCTGACATAGTGTTTTCCAATACTTTAACTCATTTTACCAATTCAAAGCACATTCTCTGACAGCACAAAGGTGCTGAAGCTAAAATTTTCAATAGGATATTCTATGGATCTTAATATTAAGACATTTATGATGTTAACTGAGACAATAAAAAAAGAGAAAATATTAAAACTTTTATATGCCATAAGAAAAGTGTAATGGATTTTAAAATTCTCATTAAACCTCAAAGGTTTTACCAAAGCAAATACCATGGTTAATTAAACATTTTTTCTTTATTTCTTTACTGAGTTGAAGTCTGGCTCTGTTGCCCAGGCTGGAGTGCAGTGGCACGATCTGGCTCACTGCAACTTCTGCCTCCTGGGTTCAAACAATTCTCCCACCTTAGCCTCCCAAGGAGCTGTGATTACAGGTGCATGCCACCATGCCCAGATAATTTTTGTATTTTTAGTAGAGGCAGTGTTTTGCCATGTTGGCCAGGCTGGTGTTGAACTCCTAACCTCCAGTGATCCACCCGCCTTGGCCTCCCAAAGTGCTGGGATTATAGGCGTGAGCCATTGTGCCTGGCCAATTAAACATTTTTAATACAGTAATAAGTGAATAATAGAATTGAAGCAGATTCAGGATTGAAATGATGTAGTCTTCTATGAAGATTTCAAAGCAAGATTTTTCACCTCAACCTAAGAAGGAAAACATGAGAGTATCAGTAATTCAAAATATAAAAGAAACATCTTAAACATAATAAAACCAGTGTCCAAACAGGATACAACAGACCTGTGCAGAAAAGCCACAACCAGGATCAGCTCAGAGAGAAGATTAAGGGATCATACCCTGGTCAAAGCCAACATTGAAGCAATGGCAATACCAGGTCAGACTCCACTTCACTCATCATTGCATTTCACCTCCTTGTATTACCTAAGAGCAACACAGTGCCCTATTTTCACATCCAAGAAGACACAGGCTTACCTATGAAAAAAAGTCTTAAGTTTCAACCATGGGTTTCTAATTAATATTTCTTTTCTTTTTTTTTTTTTTTTTAAAGACAGGGTCTTACTCTGTTACCCAGGCTGTAGTGCAATGGCTTCATTATGGCTTACTGCAGTCTCAACCTCCCCAGGCTCAGGTGATCATCCCACCTCAGCCTCCCAAGTAGCTGGGACTACAGTCACAGGCCACCACGCCTGGCTAATTTTTGTACTTTTTGTAGAGACAGGGTTTCACCATGTTGCCCAGGCTGGTCTGGAACTCCTGAGTTCAAGCAATCTACCCACCTCGGCCTCCCAAAGTGTTTGGATTAGAGGTATGAGCCACTATGCCCAGCCTGTTTTCAATTAATATTTTTTTATTTTGAGACAGGTTTTCACTCTGTCAACCAGGCTGCAGTGCAGTGGTGCAATCACGGCTCACTGTAGCCTCAAACTCCTGGGCTCAGGCGATACTCCCAGGTAGCTAGAACTACAGCCACCCCTGGCTAATTCTTTTTAATTTTTTGTAGAGACAAGGTCTTGCTATGTTTCCCAGGCTGATCTCAAACTCCTGGCTTCAAGTGATCTTCCCACCACATCCTTCCAAAGCCTTGGTATTAAAAGCGGGAGCCACCACACCTGGCCCTCAATATTTTATTTTCCAATGTTCTTTGCTTTAAAATAACTTTGCTATACAAAAATACAAACTAGGGTGGGCACAGTGGCTCGTGCCTATACAGCTAGTGCTCCACTTACGACCATGATTGGCTCCGACAGACTGGTCGGATTTGGTCGTAAGTTGAGTAGGCTATATGTACAGTACTGTGAAATGATGTCATAAAAATCTTTAAGTCATATTTTATCATAATTTTCTTTCATTATTGTTATATATCATAATTTTCTTTGTTCATTTTATGCCATTTGTATCAACTCTACACCATTTTGTTTCTTATTTTTACATTCGTCAGGTTTAAGTAAAACACTGCATTACCAGAAGTAAAGGTTGACCTGAATGCTTATTATGAAAGCATTCTTGTCAAATCTCATTTTTAAAAAGCCAACTTAACTTGTGGTAAAGGCGCAGCCTTGTGTAAAACTGTGGAATATTCACAGATCACTGAACCACGGTGGTCTATGGTTTGAAGTGAAAAACCACGGCACATGATGAGTTTTGAAAAGCAGAAGGGTATGAACTATGTTAAGTCTTAGGGTTAAAAAGGACTAGTTGCCAGGTATTTATTTATTATCATTGTAAATAGAAAAGTAAATCATCACAATTTTATGTGACTTTCCATGGGATACAAATATGTAGCATTCATCATAAAAGATGTCATCTGGATATCTTGTTCAAATATAATTTAAACTTAGTATGTTCTAATATTGTTAAAGATATAGGGATGTAAACCACTCACATTTTAGTAAGAAAGGCAAGAAAATGACTAATAATGATATGATACAGCATATATGTTTATTGTCCCGCACTGTCATACACCCAGCTGGGCAACATTTGCGCTGCCAGACACAGAGTAGTCCTGGCTAGCGATTGTGGTCGTAAAGTCAAGTGGTCGTAAGTTGCATAGGTCGTAAGTCGATCAATACCTGTAATCCTAGCACTTTGGAAGGCTGAGGTGGGAGGATTCCCTGAGCCCAAGAGTTGCCAAAACCAGCCCTGGCAAAATAGTGAGACACTTTTCCTACAAAAAGTAGCCAGGCATGGTGGTGCACAACTGTAGTCTCAGCCACTAGGGAGGTTGAGATGGGAAAAGGATTGCTTGAACCTGAGAGATCAAGACCACAGTGACCCTGTCTCACACACACACACACACACACACACACAAAAAGCAAATCTGAACAAATTTTGTTTTTTAGGGTTTTTGTTTTTGAAGTACAAAGGACAGTTGAGAAACATTTGCCATTCAAAAACTTTTGTTTTTTTCTAATGAGCACAAACAGCATGCATGATAAAATCTCAGGAATGTTCATGAAGAAACTTATAGCTTACTTTTTTTTGTTTTTGTTTTTGAGACAGGGTTTCACTCTGTGGCCCAGGATGGAATCCAGTGGTGCAATCACTGCCAATTTGAACTCAGGCTTAGGCGACCCTCCTGTCTCAGCCTTCTGAGCAGTTGGGACAACAGGTGTGCAACCACCATGCCCAGCTAATTAAAACAAAAAACAAAGTTGTAGACACAAGGTCTTGCTATGTTGCCCAGGCTAGTCTCAAATTCCTGGCTTCAAGTGATCCTCCTGCCTTGGTTTCCCAAAACCCTAGGATCAAAAGCTTGAGCCAATAAGCCTGACCTTAGTCTTGTTCAAAGGCAAAAGTTTTAGAAAATATATTTTATTTTTTTAAATTTCTTTCCTTTTTCTGGAGATAGGGTCTTGCTATGTCACGCAGCCTGGAGTGCAGTGGCCTCAAACTGCTGGGCTCAAGCAATCGTCCCACCCCAGCCTTCTGAGTAACTGAGATCTGAGGCAAGCAACACCAAGCCCAGGTAATTTAAAAAAATTTTTTTAGAGAGACAGGGCCTTGCCATGTTGCCCAGGCTGGATTCAAACTGCCGGCTCAAGTGATCCTCCCTCTTTGGCCTCCCAAATTGCTGGATTGCAGGTGTCAGCCACTGTACTTGGCCTAGAAAAGATTTCTTTT